GCCTTCCTCTCAGGGATTCGACTCTTCTACCACCAAAAGAGTCCTCACTTTAGCATTTTTTGACATCCATTTCCGGCCAAACCAGTCAGAAGTTTTTATTTTTCTTGGGGCGTCTTCGACGCCAATATGTTGCAATTTTGAAGGGGTGTGCGCGCCGTAAAAATAGCAGTCTTTTGGTCTTAATTTTTTTTTTAAAAACGCTCTTTTTAAGGTTCTCGAGGCGCTCAGAAAATTAAAATGGTCGGCCTATAAGAGTAAAAATAAGGCAACCGAAAGCTTTCGAGAGCGCCATTCTGATTTTGAAGGTTTCTTAATCTGAACTCAATGAATAGCACAGGTCAAGGTGCTACTTTATGTTTTAGCTTTCAAAATTGAGCACTGCTCACTTTTAAAAGTTAAAACATTGAGTACCACCTCGACCCGTGCTATTCATTGTGTTCTGATTAAGAAACATTCAAAATCAGAAACGCGCTCTCGAAGCTTTCTGTTGCCATAACTTAGACATTTTTAGGACGACCGATTTCAGCGTGATTGAATTATGGTCGCTCGTGAAGTTGAAGGAGAGTTCAGCTGGTTCAGAAATGAGTGGTTAAAGTCGTGAAACTCGAAACTTGTCTAACGTATGCAATCCAGTTGGCCAAGGACAATCAAAATATGTCTGGCTCAGTTCGAACAAAGTTGAGCGCATTTTTGTTCGAGAAAATCACTTAATTTCAGAATTCGATCATAACGGTTGAAATCTAACTCGATTTCAGTCGAGACGGTTGAAATAAACTGAATGTAAGAAACTGAAGCATATCCCAAACTTTATCAGTTTGAAAAAAAAACAATCTTGAAAAATATAACTATGTAAGATGCTCAGAAAAAATGACCGGAAAACCAATAAAGAAATATCAATTTTCTTGCTTAAAAACATTTTTTATTCACAATATTTTACCCAATCTCATCGAACTCTTCTCTGGAGATCCACATCTGCTTAAGCAAAGATTGAGAAGCCAAAACTGAGCCACCAATCCATGTACTGTAATTCCTTTCTGGTGGCACAAGCACTTTTGCGGGTATATTATCATCTTTCAATTTGGTGATTTCTTTGCTCAATCGCTTA